TACCTGGTACCATGAGACATATTAATCTGCTCAAGTAAGGAAACCACATCTGGTACAGCAGCTGCAATTATAGTCACTACTTTCAATAGTCAACTCTCATTCTTCATGACCATCTGTCTTCTGCACAGGCCAAATAGGAGAGTTAAATGGAGATGTTGTGGGTCTTTCAAATCCTTGATGGTATCTTTCAAATCCTTGATGGTATCTTTCAACTACTCCAGCATCTTTCAAATCCTCGATGGTAGCACTAATTTCTGCAATCCCTCCAGGAATGTGATACTGTTTTTGGTTTCCTATTTTTCCTGGAAGAGGCAATTCCAGTGGTTTCCATTTGGCCTTTCCAACCATAATAGCCCTCACTCCACAGGTCAGGGAACTAATGTGGGGATTCTGCCAATTCCTAAGTATAGCTATCCCAACTACAAATTGTGGTACTGGGGAAATAACCAAAGGATGAGTTCGGGGACCCACTGGACCCACTGTCAGTTGGACTTCAGTCAAAACTCCATTTTTCACCTGACCTCCATAAGCCCCTACTTCAACTGGAGGGCCACAATGCTTTTTAGGATCTTCCGGAATCAGTGTCAACTCAGAACCAGTATCCAATAGGCTGCAGAAAGTCTGATTATTTCCTTTCCCCCAAAGTACAGTTACTCTAGTAAAAGGCTGCAGTTTCCTCTGGGGAAGGATGGGTGGGAGGCTAACAGCATCACTCTTTGGTACCATGACAAAATCCTTCCTCAAGCACACTTGGTCTTCCCTTCATTCAAGGGGTTCTGGGTCTGCAAACTGTCTCAAGTGTGGAAATTGGTTGACTGAATGAGTTTCTCTGTTCCTACAATCCAATACTGACTTCCTGTCATTCATTGTAGAGTTTTTCTGCTTATACAGATCAAATAAAAACTTAGTAGGCTTCTTATGTATATGGTCCCTGGAAACACCATGATTGATTAGTCAGTACCACAGGTCCATTTGAGTCATGCCATTGTAGGTATTGTTTTGCCTTTCCTCCCATTACGATAAATATGCTCATCTTGTCTTTGGTAATCTAATACTGCCACCTGACCCCTAATCCTAGGTCCTGTTACACCTATTATATTTACATTTAATTTATGCATTTATGCAATTGAGCAGCAGCATCTCCATCTGTAAGATTCGGCATAAGGAAAAGAGCAAAAAACAAAGCTCTTCAAAAGTTCTGGTGATTCTTTCAGTACTTTCTGTCTTATAAAATAAGTAAAAGGCATGTCCTTTGGGCCATCCCATTGTGGAGGATTGGTGTCGCACTGCAAATCCACTTGAGCATACCAATTTTCCTGAGCCTTACAATCCCTTCATCACCACTAAGCCAAGGGATATCAGGTATCTCCAGCTCTCTGTCCATAGGCCATCTCTTGATAATACCTCAGCCAACCAATCAAATAAACTTTTAACACCATTTTAAATGCATGCACTTCCATATAAAACCTGGAATCTCCACTCAGGGGGTCCATGTCAAAAAAACTCAACCTGATCCAATTTTATGTTCCTTCCACCATTATCCCAAACCCTTAAAATCCATTCCCAGGCATATTCATTACTCTTGTGCTTGAAAGAATTAACAAATTCACTAAGTTCTTTAGTGTTGTAGTGCATCTCCTCATGGACCACACTTTCTATCTCTTCTCTAGGGGCCTGCTTAGCTTTGAGTCTGGTTATAGGTCTAGAGGCAACATAACTGGGCCCCAAGGGACATCAGCTTCATCTTGCTGAATGGAATTAGAGTCCTCAATGGGATTAGTTTCCTCAGGCAAGGGTGGGGAGAGTAGGTCTGCTGAATGTGGGGAGATTAATTCATCAGGTGAATCAAATTCCTCAGAGTCTGAGGATTCAAAATCCTCAGCCTCCTCTGGTTTCTCCCACACATCTCCATCCCAGGTGTCAGGATTCCAATATTTTCCTACCAATGCCCTCACCTTTACTGCTGACACCCTTTGAGGCTGGGAATTAAATTTGTGTTGTAGGTCAGCCAAACGTATAATGAGGGCTCCAGCTTGATCTTCTGCAGCATTAGCTCTCTGGCTGTTGGAGAGAAGATTCTCTTCCAGCGAACACTTGGAAACATTTAAACTGTTGATTCGAATCTGGAGCTTGTCAGTTTTATCATTAAGCTCATTGTTTATCTTCATTACTTTATCCAGAGATGTTAGCAGTAACCAGCCAGCATCATAATTTTTCTTATTTTTCAACAAATCATGAAATGTTTTATGTATAGAGTTACTAAATTTCTTGCTCTTCACAAGAGGTGAGTTAGGAGATTCAAATGGGTCTATCTCCATAATTATTTCAAATAGTCTACACCACAGATTTTCAGTGTTCTCCATGCTATGTGAAGATTCTGAGTTGGAGAGCCTGCTCCAAATACCAACAAGCCCATTAAAGAAATTTATCCTTTCAATTCTGTTTCTCTAGAACCACTCCTGGTACCATAATCTGTATTACTCAGGGTTCTCCAAAGAATCAGAACCAGTAGAACGAATATATATATATATAGAGAGAGATTTATCAGTTTAGCTCACAGGATAGAGTCTGAGTAGTCCAACAATGGCTGCACCACACTGGAGGGGTTGAGAATCTGTAGTCACTCAGTCCACAAGGCTGGATGTCTCAGTAGTCCCAATCTGGTGCTAAAGTCTGACAAATTCCAAAAGATCAGCTAGTCTTCAGTCTACAGAAGCAAGACAAACTCACCAGTGAGAGACAAGGCAAGCAGCAAGAAGCCTGGCCTTCTCCTCTGCCTTGGTCTTTTATACCGGCTGCCATCAGAAGGTAACACCCACATTCAGGGTGTGCCTTCCAGCTTCAAGTGATCCAATCAAGAAGATCTCATTCATTTCATTTAATCCTAGATCCAGTCAAGTTGACACCCAGGGTTAGCCATCACAGTTGTATTGTTTAGGTAGGTCTTAGAAGGTATAGTCATGTTGTAGGAAGTATGTCACAGGGGGTGGGCTTTGTGAATTCTTAAACCTTGCCAGACCTCATGTCATACTCTTGTTTTCTGTGCCTGCATGAAGACGTGAGAGCTTAGTTTATACCTCTCCAGCCATCTTTACTGCCATGCCTTCCCACCATCATGAACTCTTGCCACTTTGGAACCATAAGCTAAATAAACCCTTCTTTAGAAGAAGAAGTCTTTCTCCAGAAGCACTTCCTTTGGTCAGTGCTTCTATCACAATAACAGAAAAGTCACTAAGACACAGCCTATGTTGTGGTGGTAAGTAAGGTCTACCCTCCCTCACCAAGTAGTAATCTGTCTCCAACTGTTCCCAGACTAAGGCTGGCCTGACACCCATCCCTCAGTCTACTCTGGGCCCTTGTCTAATAGAGTTGCCATGGGTCCTGTGCTTGATGCAACAAGGGGTCATGGATGGCAGAAGGTGTCTAAATTGGATTAAGAACTGTCATATGAAATGTACAAAAGCTCAATATTTTTTATGAAACATAGAAATAGAGGGAGAACTCCCAAACAACTATGAAGCCACTGTTACTCTAATACCAAAACCAGGCAAAAACAAACCAAAAAAGAAAACTATAGTTCCATATCCCTAATGAATATATGTCCAAAAATTCTTAACAAATTTCTCATGAATCATATTAAAATTAAAATGATCACTCGCATGATCAAGTCAGCTTTATTCCAGAGATTCAGAGATGGTTCAATATATAAAAATCAATAAATGTATGAAATCATATAAATATGTTTAAAGAGAAAAATCACATCATCATCTCAATAGACACAGAATAGGCTTTTGAAAAAACCTAATAGGCATTCATAATAAAAGTCCTAAAGAGAATTTTACTACAGGATGCACACATACCACAACATAACTAGAGGTATATAAAACAAAACCACAGCCAACATCAACAAGCATGTCCACTCTTCCCAGTCTTTTTCAATATAGTGCTTGAAACTATACTTAGAGCAATAAGAGAAGGAAATTAAAGGGATACTAGTTGGAAAAGAAGGGGTCAAATTATTGAGATGATATGAAGGCCCCATATTTCCTCCAAAAAACTATTAGAAATAATCAACATGTTCAACAAAGTGACATGATACAAACCTTATTTATAAAAACCAGTAAATTTTCTCTATACCTTTAATAAGTGATCATACACAATTCATGGAAACACTTCTATTCACAATAACCTCAAAAAATACAAAATATCTAGGAGTAAAACTAACTAAAGACAGCAAAGACCTCTAAAATGAAAATTTTAATCTTTGAAAAAAGACTGAGGAAGACAAGGAGATGGAAGGACCTCCTATGCTTAAGGATAATTAGAATTAATACTGTGAAAATGAACATACTACCAAAAACAAATTTTAAATTCAGTGCAATTCCCCAAATAATTCCCATTACTTTCTCTAATGAAATAGAAAAAAAAATTCCAAAAAAACAATATGGAATCAGAAAAGATGCCAGAAAGCCAAAGCAATCCTGAGCAGCAAGAGCAATGCAGAGTGGAATACAATACCAGATCTCAAACTATATTACATACTTATTGTCACAAAAATAGCATAGCTCTGGCACAAAGCAGACATGTATATCAATGGAAATTAAAGAAGACCTAAACATTACTAAAGAAAATTTCAGGCACCTTATATTTGGCCAAGGTACGAAGAAGACATACTGGAGGAAAGGCAGCATCTTCAGCAAATGGTGCTTGGCAAAACTGAATCTCCACATGTAGAAGAATGAAATTAGGCACATTTCAATCACTCTGCCCAAAAGTAAACTCCAAATGGATCAAAGACCTAAATGTGAAACCTGAAACACTGAAGCTATTTGATGAAAACATAGGCAGCACCCTATAATATATATATGTATTGGAAAGGACTTTCTAATCAGACTTTAGTCTATAGTCCTATTCTCCTGAAACCTCATAAGCACAGTCCCTATTGTCAGCATTTTGACTGCATTGTAGTCTTCTAAGTTCCCATAAGATTGACTTATTATGTGCAAACTTTGGAAGCACATATGCTAAAATTGGAATGATGTATAGACGATCAGCATGGTGACTGCGCAATGATGACATGCAAATTTGTAAAGCATTCCACATTTTTCAAAAAAGAACGACTCAATACTGATTATTGCTTTCTCAGATTCTCTAGCCCTCATGTCCAAGGTCTTACACATCTCTTCCAAAAAGCAGTTCCAAAACCAAAGGACACATTTGTCGGGAGCCGTAGGCCCCTACCCCAAGAAATAGCAAGACCTGATTTCTGGCAAAGCTGTTTTTCAGACATCAAGGCTGGCCTGGTTTGAGATTAACCAGATGACTATACTTGAAAGCCTCTCACAAACATGTTGTTCTAACCTGGGCACTTAACGCCTGAGAGACTCCCTCATTTCTCATGTAATTGCTAAGAAACTTTGGTGTTACTCTGTAATCATACAAGTGTAACCTCTTAATTGATTTATAACTTGCTATATAGAATTGTGGTGTTACTATGGAATTTACTCTATGACCAATTGGTGTGGTGTTATTGTGATAATCATTCTGTTAATTAAGTTGCCCTACTTCAATGGATTTTTCCCTGCCAACTTCCCCCTCTCCTCCCTATAAAAACTTTGTGTGAATGTTCATTAAATGAGACTTGATCAGAAAGCCTGTCTTGTCTCCATTCTTCGCATCCCTTGTCCCTTTCCGTCCTTTCTCCTCCCTCCAGAAACCCACGTTGACTGTCCTGCGGGTCAGGACACACATTATTAAAAGAATTATAATAATGACCCTAACAGAATGAAAAAATACTTAATTTAACTCAGGATTTCAGAAGGTATAGACTACCATGTAAGTTGAGAAAACTGACTTATTGGCTTGTGGTATTGGGATCCCATGGAAAATGCTTGTTCACTTGACATGGGCCAGGAAGCAGAAAAATGTAAGTCAGATCCAGAGTGGGTATAACCTACAATGGCACATATTTAGTGACCTATTCCTATGAACCAGGCTTGACTTCATAAAGGAACTACAGCTTTCAAAATATCAACAAATGTTGGGAATGGAACATTAAAATCATGAGTCTGGGGGAAACATTTAAGTTTCAAATCATAATATAATGGATCAGTAATTTCAATGATAGTGGCATTCTATATATCAGGAATATTAAATGTTATGATGCTGTCATGGAACTGGACTCATCAAAAGAATTGGCAAAATACTAGAATATTATATTCCAAACTGTATCATATAAGGCAGAAATAACATCCATAGCAGACTCCAGGGTTGGATGAAACACCCAGAATGATGATTACTATGCCAAGGGACAAAGTAAATATTGACTTCTATAAATTAAAAGGATCAGAAAAATAAAAACTCTTAATGAATGTTTCTTTTTTACTTGACAGAAGATGTTTTTGTTTTATAAATTGCTTTATTTTTAAATTAAAGTTATTTCTAATGAATAAATGAAGCTATTATAAGGAGTAAGCAGCCATGGAGTACCTAGCCCCAGCTGACAGGATGGCAGTGATGCAATCCCTACATCTAAGGCTCAGGGGAAGTTACAGAAAAGTGGAGAGAACAGATTATAGGAGCTTGAGGACCAGAATGCCTGCTAAGAAATACTGTGTTCAATATATAAAAGGATGTGACATCCATGAAATTTCAGCAGTATGCTTGTCTAAACAAGAATTGATAATGACAACAACAGTTGAAATATCAATATGAATGAGGGATATTTCACAAGATAACAAATAAGAGTAATAGGCACTCAAAGCTAAAAGAAGGGAAAACAATTTTATCTCCAGGGGTGAGATACAGTTTTTCAGACAGTTGGGCAGTTAACTCATATGAACTCAGCAAATGATAATAGCATGAACAAGACCATGTAAGCTCAAGACACAGAAAAATCTCATCATAGAAGTGAGTAACTAAGAAACCCCAACCATAGCTGAGAAACTAATGGTAACTGTTATTTCCTGAGAGAAAGAGAGTCAAATTTCCTTCAGAAGGTTATGCTGGGTAGGCTTCAGGTTCCAATGAATGGACACAAACCAAAATATGTTTGAGGACACAAATGTGACTCAATAAATTTTTTGATATAGTGAAATTTAATATATATATATATATGTATATGTGTAATGGAGTACATTAAATCAAGCTGGGAATAGTAAATGGCTTTCAGATGGGGGGGTTCTAAATATGTTCAAAACATGTTGTTTGAAATTCACTAATATTCTCAAAAAATACAAGTAAATAAAATTGCTCTTTTAGGAATTAAAAAAAATTGTTATAATATGTACAATATTTACTGTGTTATATTTGAGTATTTCAATTGTCAATGTAATACAAGATATAGTAAATAGTATACTATCTATAAAAAAAGTATGAAAAAAAAAAAGGTTTGGACTGCCATCGGGATAGAGGCTTGGAGCTCTGCAGGCTGCCACAGAGTGCCAGGTTCTGGCCTCCCTTTGGCCTCCAAGTACCAGAGGGCCTGAGAACCCAGGGTACAGCCTGACAGATTCCGAATCCTGCCTCCAGATGGTGGTGAGCTTCCCCTAAGTGTGCCATAACATCCCCCTACCTGGGATTTTGTGAGACCCCTCCCAAGGCCCCATGGCAGATCTGGTTTTGGTAGGCTAAGCCTGAGATTCTAGCTGATAGCCTAAGAGGGTGAGTTCTGACCTCCATGGGGTAGCCACTGGGAGCTGAGCGGACCAGCAGAGGGTGCCAGGTTCTGGCCTCCCTCTGGCCTCCAACTACCCAGGGGACATGCTGACAGCTGCCCCCCATCCTGCCTCCATGTGGTGGTGAGCGCCCCCTAATTTTGCCATACCATCCCCCTACCAGGGATTCTGTGAGGACCCTCCCAAGGCCCCAGGGCAGATCTGCCTTTGGTATGCTAAGGGTGGGACCTCAAAAGACCCTCAGAGAGTTCCTGCCTCCCTCTGGCCTCCCTCTGGCAAAGGGGTTCAAAACCCACAGGACTGCCTGAGAGAGCCTGGATCCTGCCTCCACATGGTGAAGGAAGCCTGACTGTACCTGACTGGAACCTGAATTGGGCTTCTGTGGGTACTCCTGAACAGCTGATCTGAAGCCATCAGTTCCCTCCAAAATAAACCAGAGAGAACCTGAACCCTGTACCAATCAGCTTTACATAACCAATGAAGAAAGGATTTAGGCACCCAGATAACACAAACAGAAGCATACTTCAACTTAATTCTCATATCAGGATCATAAACAACAAAAGAAATTCATATGCAAAAACCACAATGAAAGAATAATAAAATGGAAAGCCAAAACACCATGTCCCCACCAAATACTGCCAATCCTGTAGAAGAGTTCTGCAAGGAGAACCCCCTAGATATAACCCAGGACACTGAATTTAAAAGAACAGTCATAAACATGATCAAGGAATCCAATGAATTTAAAGAACACATGAACAAACAAACTGAAGAGCTAAAAGAAGACAGGGATATACTTCTGAATGAATTCACAGAGTAGATAGAAACATTGAAGAAAACTCAGGCAGAAATGAAGAAGGAAGTGCAAAACTCAGTAAGCCAACTTGAAACAACAGGGGAAAGACTCACTTCTAGAATGAATGAAATGGAAAACAGGATGTTAACTTTGGAGGATAAAGTTGAAGAAATGGACCACTCAAGCAAAGAGTATGGAAAATTTTTTAAAAACACAGGAATGGAATATGCAAGAAATGTGGAACACCATGAAAAGATCAAATCTAGAGATCATAGGAATAGAGGAAGTTGAAGAATTTCAGGTAAATGGTGTTGACCAGATCTTAAACAGGATTGTAGAAGAGAATTTCCTGAAATTTAGGAAAGACATCCCCATAGAAATACAGGAAGCACATAGAACACCAAATAGACAGGATCAGAAAAGAAACTCCCCATGACATATCATAGGAAAAACACTAAATGTACAGAACAAAGAGAGATACCTGAAGGCAGCAAAAGAAAAACAACAAGTCACATGCAAAGGAAAGCCCATCAGAATTACAGCTGACTTATCAATGCAAACTATGAAAGCCAGAAGTACCTGGACCAAGGTATTTCCAGTTCTATATGAGAATAGATACCAGCCCAGAATATTATACTGAGCAAAAATGTCTGTTATAATTGAGGGGGAAAGAAAAATATTCCATGATGTGAATAGACTGAAAGAATACATGTCCACAGAACTAGACTTCCAAAGAATACTTGAGGCAATACAGAGAGCAGAGAGAGAAACAACTATACCATAGGGGCAATGAAAGAAAAATAAACAAAGATATAGTCTAGGCAACACAAAATTACACAGAGAACACAAATAGCAATCAAAATGACAGCAACCAATATACACCTTTCAATAATAACCTTAAATATCAATGGAATGAACTCCCCAGTCAAAAGACACAGGCTACGAAAATGGATTAAGAAACAAAATCCATCTCTTTGCTCTCTTCAAGAAACCCATCTCATGTTCAAGGACAGGCACTACCTTAAGGTAAAAGGATGGAAAAGAATATTCCAAGCAAATGATACTAACAAAAAAACAGGAGTTGCAATTCTAATACCTGACAAAATAGACTTCAAAGTAAAACTAATCAGAAGAGATAAGGAGGGTCATGTCATTTTGATCAAAGGAACTGTTAACCAAAAAGATATTACAACCCTTAACATATATGCACCAAATTCTGGTACAACAAAATTCATAAAAACAATATTACAGGACTTTAAGACACAGATTAACACCAACTCAGTAATAGGAGGGTACTTCAATACCCCACTGTCTCCATTAGACAGGTCAACTGGACAAAGAATAAACAGAGAGACATCTGAATTAAATGATACCATACATCAAATGGTCCTAACATATATCTTTCGATTATTCCACCCAAACACCAAAGAATACACTTTCTACTCAGCACCTCATGGAACTTTTTCAAAGATCGGCCACATACTGGACCACAAAATAATCCTCAACAAATATAGAAGCATTGAAATAATTCCATGCATTCTATTGGACCACAAAACAATGAAGCTCAAAATCAACACTGGACGAAGCCCTAGTCACTACACAAACTCATGACAATTGAATAATACACCCCTAAACAAT